GGGCTACTCACATCAACCCAAATTCACTATGATAAAAAGGAGTACAAGAGGAGAGTTAATTACACACTAAAGTATAACCTATAACTACTCCAGTGGATCCGATGTGCAGGCGATCTTCATTGCTTCATGAACTGGTTAAGGACCTTTCTTCACTCTCAGCAATACAGAATATATTTGGAATAAATAACCAAGGAATTTCAGAGTAAAATCATGTGAAAGAGTGTGTGAAAAATGCTAACCAAAGTAGCATTTTATATAGGTAGTAAAGGATCCTTCGATCCACAAAACAAGCACTCTTTTTCCTCCTTGATTTCAGTTGCTCCAATTGATGTAGATCTCCACCAAGATAGGGTCTTGACTAAATAAAAGTTTTGAAGAAGTTTCATGCCTCCTGGATTACTTTCTTGCGCTGATCCAGTCGACTACTCCAGACAGTATGACTAATCCAGCAACTAGTCCAGAACTACTTTGGCAACTAATCTAGGCCAATAATAAGAGGTTTAAATGTGCAACATTTTTACACTTACAAGGTCTGTCTACATCCCTGCCGCCGTTCTCAGCCGCAAGTAGTTGCGCCTCGTCAATCGGCTTCTTTTGCTTCTCCGGGACGGGGATTCGCTCGAAAGCCATGTCTAGATCTCGAGTTTATGCAGACATCAATGTGGTTTTCCCTAGGGAGTATTGGGATTACGAATTGCTCACTATTCAGTGGGGGTAAGTTCCATCGCTTAAGCCATAATTTCCTTTCCGTGTTATTGTTTGGAATATAGTTTGACGATTTCTGATCTGAATTAAGTGAGATAAAGCAGTAACAAGGGACTTTTCTATCTGGTTATGAGTTTTAGGGGTTGTATTTGCTAATAAAATCACTAGAAGAAGACACTTTAGTTTCACATGCTTCAAATTTATAGTCTCCCATGTGTATTTATATGTTTTTAAGTAATGCAAAAAATTGGCATTATATTGCTTTGAATTTTTAACCTTGTTTATGTTCATTTAATTTTTGACCTGTTAAAATTTCTCTCAAAGACTGGTTAGCCTGCACGTATTTACAACCCCTCGCTTTCTTCCTTTTTGTAATCATCTGTATGTTATTTTAGGGGAGAGATGTGTTGTAGGGGTTTTAAGGTGTTGCAGTGTATAAAGCTTTTTTATCATGTGTTGTGGGCTTAATAATGATCTGTATATGATTATGGATGAAAGGTATTCTAAAATACTAATTTATTTGCCTTTGAATGTGTTAATTAGGATGTTTGTTAGCTCCTTCTGCTTGATTTAGAATTAATTTGAGCAAGAGCAGAAAGCAATGTGAGCAAAAAAGTTCAAAACTCTAATATATGCTCATTAGAGTCTTGAACTTCATAGCTTAAAGACAATGTAGACCAGTTCTCGTGCCTTCCAGAAGCGAAAAATTAACCTCTGTTATCCTATATAAACTTGATTTTCAACACTGTTTGTATTTTAATCTTGATTGGAGCAATTACGCTTGATAGTACTCCCTTTTTACCCTTAAAGTTTCTATACGTATGATTGTATTAGACATATGTTGATCAAACCTCCAAATTCTCCATTGGACATACGTTGATCAAACCCCCAAAGACAACAATAATAAAACTCCCTCTTAACAATTTGCACAGAGTATTCTCCTAAATGTGACATTTCTCACCCTTTCACTGCTGGAAATTTTCCATTTTCTGACCACATTTCCGACCACCTAGAATATTGGTCGGAAAAAGTGATTTTTTTTCACTTTTCCGTTGAAGGATTATGGTGGACGGAAATAGGTCAAAATTTTCGACCACCATAACTTAGTGGTCGGAATAACCGACCACAAAGTAAAGATGATCGAAAATTTCTTTCGGCCGTTTAAATTTTAAAAAATTATCTATTTATTATTTCCGACCACATTCAAAAGTTGTCGAAAATGTATTATTATTATAACTTTTTTTTCCTAGCATCTTTTTTAAAAGGAGCGGGTCATTTATTTAAAATATTAGAAACCTTTAAAATATGAAAACGACCCATCATTTTTTCTTTATTTTCAAGAGTTAGATTTTTAGATTTCTCTATACGTTCTGGGAACCAACACCTATCCACCGCTGAAGCCCTAGATCGTCTACGATGTTGAAGTCCTCGATCGCCTTCTCCTCAATCGACTACGCAGCTGCGAACCTTCTCCTCCTTAGCTCTTCTCCTCGATCAACGACGTAGCTGTGATATAAACGTTTTCCTCGCTCATTTGCGCCGTCTCAAACACTCGTTGGCATATTGTTCTGCTGAGAAAATTTGTATGAGGATGAGGAATACAATGAAAGACAACACACTGCATTGATCGTTTCTAAGGTAACCGCTATTATGCCTTCATTAGTTTCTCATCTATTGTTAAAGTTCAAGGACTTAAGGTTCTTTATTTCTAATGTATTGTTATTTACTTATTTTTACTATAGTCAGGGAGGAGGTATGAAAGAGCGAAGTTCGGGAACTGATTCGAGCTTGGCCTTCACTTCAAATTGGGGAAAGTGGCTTCTGTTAGATCTATCAGGCATTCAGGCAGGTAGGATATCTACGATTGAGAATCCAGAAAACAGTATACAGTATGTATGACTTTCAACTTGTATTGATAGATACATATTTTTTGTATTTACTTTTCTGGAGTGAATTTTACTTTAACAGTTAAGATGTGTTTGTAGTTTATACTTAAGGAATGATTTGCACTTGATTTGGCTCCTCTCCATATAATAGAAATGCAAATGTTAATTTTTTTTTTACTAGTCTTACTAGCCTTGTCATTTGCATATCAAAGTTGTGGTCTGTAAATGTGCTATTATACTCTTTGTTGCTGCTGATTCTGTCAAAAAATGTTTTTGAGGATTTTTTATTTTATTTTTGGGAAGGATGCCTGGTTATGTATGTAGACCTAGTCTGCTATGTTGTTCTTTTTCTGTGAACAGAGGTTGACTTCTATTTCTATCTTCACGAAATCTTAGTTGCCTATTTCTTGCTCCAGTGCAAGGTATTTATGTGAATAATTTCTTTCATATGAATCAACCGGCAAGAGAAGTTTGTAAGGTCAGTTTTAGTAATTCATCAATGCTTTGTTGTTATTGGGGTGAGTTCTATTGGATGGTCCCTTGGTCTCTACCAAGACTAGAAGAGAAAGAAAATATGAGAGTTTGCTTGAAATGAAATACCTTTTCTGCTTCTCATTTTTAGTAAACAAGCAAGGATAGTTAAATGTTTTCCATGTTGGTATCATTATTATTATAGAACTTTTTCTCTTGTTGGTATCATTTCAGGGCACTTGTGTGATTCCACACAATGAAACTGATGATTTGAATTCAGTTGGAGCTGTGAGGTCTGTGTTTGGACCGTTCGTTGAGCTCGTTAAATCATGGAACCTTCCTGATTGGATTGTGCACTGGGGCCATCCCGGCAACATGGTACACACTGGTTCTATTGTATTAACTTTTGAAACCATCAGGATTTTGTGCAGTAAGCTTTTGTGATTAAAGCATGTCTATTAACTCCTTTTCCTAAATCTCCCTTTCTGTTCTGTAGACTTTTGCTTTAACTATATCATCTCATAGTTGTTTCTTTCCACATATTACAGTCAATGCAAGAAGGAGATCCGGCATGGATTGGCTATATCTATGCATTTGCAATTTTTCATTCAAAGAGAAGGTGCAAAGATGATTGTTTCCCTTTTTAATATGTTATGCTTTTAGTTGTGGTGGAGTAGATAAGTTTATTGGAGAAGGCAGAGGTCTTGAGTTTGAATTTCATTCACTGCCTGTTATAAAATATTTCCACACGCTTTGCCCACCTAAAAGAATGTGGCCAGCTCATGAGGGCCTGTTAAGAATAAAAAATAAACTATTAAATGTCTCCCCTCTCTAATAGCTTAAGCTTTTAGTTGAAGCGGCAAACAAATATTTCATCATTTCCAAAATATATTTCTTTCATTTATCTAGTTTACTTTTACTTGTTTATACTATTCCTATAATTTCATTATATTACACTCAACATGTTAGTTTATTGCTTCCCTTGTTTCCTCCCTTCACCCCTTGCTCTCTCTATCTCTTTCTATAATAATTAATGAGGTGTTGTGTAATGACTATTTTGGTCTGAATATCATTTAGGTATTTGGTGTGTTGTGTGAAGCTCAGTACTTTTAAAATGTCATGCGTGTTGGATTTCACCTGAGATCAACTCTGGGAATTTGTGCATGTGGCGGTCTTCATGCTTTGTCTTTTCCTTGTACTCTGCACATTTTCTCATTGTGGTGCTTGTTTTTTTGCAATGAGCTGGTGCTCTGTTATGGGGTTTACCATGTAACCCAAATAATATGCTTAAATTTGCTCTCACATACAGTCACTTCTTCGTTCTCTTATTCTTATTATATTTATATATATATATATATATATATATATATATATATATATATATATATATATGTTTTAGTTTGAAACCATTCAGAAAAGTTACTTAGTTTTTAATTTTGAAAGGTTTGATTTTTTGGTTGAGAGTTGCCTGAATCATGTGTGCAATTTAGTGTTTTCCTGCTTTTCATTAAAAAAGAAAATCTAAATCAATTTTGAAGTTCCCACATCTTTTTTTTTTTTTTTTGGTTATTAGAATGGATGCCCTTACCTATTTTCCAGAAATATAATTGAATCATTGAATGCAAGGTATATACTAGACATTATGCTCTCACTTTTAAATTCTTCATTATTAACCATGTTACTCTGAAATGCTATAATGATCAAACACTTAATAATGGATGTGTTTTTGACATCTATGGTGAAATTGAATTTATAGAAGACAAAGAGGGAACTTTTACTCTTTTGATGACTAATTCCTTAATTGGTCATTTACAGGGGTTCCTTATCAACTGGAATAGGTTGCAAGCGAAGCTAGTAATCAACCAAAGTTGCCTGCCTTCTTTACTTCAAAAATTCCACACCTTCTATTCTAGAAAAGGGCTCAACTGACCGGGTAATATCTAAAGGTGAGACACCATTGATGGAAGGCAGCGTCAGTGAGAGTGGTAATTCTTCTAGAGTAAGGGGTTCTGGTTGATGAGATTGATAAGGGGGAATTATGGTTGGTTTTGAATCCAGCAATTACTTTGCAGCGAATATGCTAACATTTCTATTTTTGTAAAAAGTTTCAGTTTGACATGGAATTCTTCTTCACAGGAGTTAAGGCTGGAATGTTTGTAAGAGATGCTAAGGTTCTTTGTCCTAAACTTGTCATTCTTTCTTATGACTTTGAAGCTTATGAGGAGGTATTGTGAGATTGGTTGAGTAAAAATGGAAATTCTTCAGTCATGCTTTCTCCTGTGCCTTTACAACTTTCAGTCACGTGAATAGTTTGACACACAATTTTTGATTTACAGGTGGCTGACAAGTTTTATGACATTTTGCATAAGCACTGCAAGAAAGTGCAGGTCTGTCCATGTATATCGTTCTCTTCAGAGCACACATTATATTATACTTATATAACTCTTCAATTGGCTTGTTACTGAAAGCAGGCCGTCAGTTGTGATGAAGCATTTTTAGATGCCACTGACTCAGGGGTGGATGACATTCAAGCATTTGTCAGACTGATCAGGAAGGAAATTGTTGAGATAACAGGATGCACTGCAAGTGCCGGTATTGCTGGAAATATGCTTATGGCCCGTCTTGCTACCCAAACTGCAAAACCTGATGGACAATGTTGTATCCCTCCTGAGTAGGTAAAATGTTTAAATCTTATATATTTGTCTCCTATGAGAATTGGAGAGATAAAAGGAAAGTGAAAACTTGAATGAATATCGGTTTGCTGATATATATAGCTGGTTTTTTCCAGGTTGAGGAGTATCATCGCCATCCTCAACTGAGTCGCACCTCAAGCTAAAGTTATGGAGTCTCCATCCTCAACTGATTCGCACCTCAACCGAGTCATCAACTGAGACATTTCAAGCTAAAGTTACGGAGTATTCGCATCCTCAACTAGAAGGTAATTGCATTTTAATGCTATATATTAAGTCTACTAAATTTAGTCTCTGTTTAGGGTTTAAGGCTTAGAAATCTTATTTTAACTACATTTTCCTTTTTTTTTCCTGCTTTTTTGCTTTGACATTTCTGAGTAAATATAGATGGATTTGTAGGTTTAGATATTAAGAAATATATAATACTCCCTCTGATTTCTGCTCCATTTTGTTGTTTTTCTATTTTTTTGCAATTACATATTAAAGGACTTGATACCGAGCCTAGATTCATAATTTTCATAGCCTAAGGAAGAAGAGAAATTTAAATTTCATATACTTTAAGCTTTTCCATGAAAATTATGTGGAATATGCACACAAGGCTCTGAGGACTATATTTTCTTGTCTCTGAGGACTAAAGAACTTGCTATTTGTGGTGTCATGTAATATTGTTGGACCTATGATGCATCTCAATTATCTTGATAGTCATGATATATGCACTAGACAGTTAGACTCATAATCCACTTCCAAAATTTTGTAATATGTTTTTCCCCCTATATAAGTATTGTTCATCACTTATTTTCTCTATCAACTAACGCATTTTCTCTAACTGTTTTAAAGCTTTTGGTTATGTTATTGACAGTATTGTGTCTTTTCCTAAATACCTTGACAATAATTACAGATTGCACCAATTTATCTGACATCACGTATGAAGCTTGGAATCAGCTTGTTGGAAAATCTATTGTACAAACAGCCTGTACAACAGCACCAAGTTCTACTGAAGGTCCAACATTGAGTTCTTTCTTTTCTCACACCTCTTTTGCATACAGGTTTAGCCCTATCCCCAATAAGAAAAACATAATTTAGAGATAGATGAATTTTGTACTGGAGTGTGCATGTCTTTGAAAGATATATAATTTGAGTTGTCTTCTATTGCAGAGCATGGACATCTATCGTCTGTATGAACTTAACACTGTCTCTTCAAACATTATGAGGGTATGTCATGGTCAAATTGATTAGTGATGTCTGAGTTTGTTGATCAGTTTTTAGATATTTACCTTAAATTTATTACATATTTGCAAATACTAACTAAACTTGTGTATGTGCTTTAATAGTTTAATTTCATAATTGAAATGTGTTATCCCACAACACAGATTGATGGAGTCCACCACGGGAAACATGGAAAGAAAGGCTCTGTAGTTTTCTGGCTTCAGGTTCAGCAAGCTCGTGATAAAGTTCGTTTAAACAGAATTGTGAAGCAATTATTTGATTTTGTTGGAAAGTCTATCTCTGATGAAGGTTTCAAGGTAGTTATAGTGTAATTTAATATTTTTGTGCTTATACATCTCCAAGCAAAGTTAACTTTGATAATGAAGAAAATTTGATGTCTTTGTATATAACGCCTATCTATTGCAAGTTCATATCTTTCTTTGACTGCATCTAACTGCCATGTTCTTCAACTTTTCTTGTAGTAATGGGAAGGACTAATTGAATTGCTGGGTTTAGAGTCCAGGACTGCTAGTGGTCTTGAGTTTTTGAACAAGTAATTATTGGTCACTTGTTTTCCATAGTAATACTTGTTCTTATCAATGCTTATTATATTCCATTGCTATGATCTGTGTATTTATTGAGCTTCTATTGATGTGCAGGTATAGGGATTTCAGGTGATGTCTTCTGCAGGTTGAAGGTGATACATCTACTGATGCTGCTGGGAAAGCTATTGTTGCCCTTATATCAGTATGTCCAACGTGTTAACTGATGATGCTATTAGATATTCTTTATAAGAAGTGAAGAACAGTGTTTAGATGATGCTTCTCCAGTATTTTTCTGAGGTCTCTGTCTGCATGACCAAAATTTCATTTGTATTTGTGTAATTTGCAGCTGATGAAAAACCCTTCTACACCTCAACAATGCTTGTGTTAAATTTTCAACTGTATATTCATGAATGGATTCTTTTCAAGTGTATGAAATGTCTATGTTTTTCAGCAAATATCTTACCAACTTGCCACAATATATATATATATATATATATATATATATATATATATATATATATATATATATATTCATTTCACTACAGAGGGAACCTGTAGTGAAATGAATTTTTTTTATTGACTACGTCCAGTTTTCCGACCACCATAGTGGTCGAAATTTCCGACCGCCGGTGGTCGGAAAATCTGGACCCGCCCGACTATTCTCTTGGTCATTTTTTCCGACGGTCTTAGAAAAGTGGTCGTTATTTACGAGCACTTCTCCCGTGGTCGGATATAGCGAGGGGGATTTTTCCGGATACCCAATTTGGTCGGAAAAGAGGTCGGAACAAGCGTTTCCGACCTAATTAAGGCCATTTCCGACCACTTTCAGGTGGTCGGAAATCTGCTGATTTCCAGCCGTGTTTTAATAAACAATATGTCAAAGATAAAGATAAAACTTCAAGAATCAAGATAGAATAGGCAAGATACAAGTAGCTAGTCACTATTGTACGTAGCCAATAAAGCAACATTGTCTAGATTCAGAGATGCAACGTAACCAAAATCTTCAATTATCATTAGAAAAGATAAAGCAATATAAGTCACTATTGAAAAATGGGGTATTGTTATTGCATAGAGTGAAAAGGATTGTGCATCCCTCACAAGTCTGGTATTTATATAGCTCAATCAAACAACCATTAAGAACTTGACAGAACATTAAAAGTGAATCCCCACATCAGGGGTATTAATTACATGTTGATCTTCTAAAACATAATGTAAGTAATCTCCAAAATTAAAGAAAATCATCTCTTAAAATTGGTCTAAGATCTCCTAGTTGTACTTAATTCCCACAAATGAGATAACATGGCCCCCAAGTTTTAGACTATATTGGGCTAAGGTTGACCACTTAGTTTGAGTCTAACCACTAATGCGATTATGCCAAGGCTGAATTTCAAAGTGCTTGTATACAATTCATCAAATGTGATATCAAAATAAAATGTGTTATGTCATAACTAAAAATTCGAGATGATAGTTAATTGCAAATGGATCTGATATTTATATATAATATTATATAGTACACTCAATATGTAGAACTGGAATAAATGACCTTCATAAATGGCAGAAAAAAAAAAAAAAAAAAAAAACACACACACACATACACAAAAACATACAAACATAAACAAATTCAATTCCCAACTCATTAAGCTGCATCATTGAGCATAGAAGTTGCATGGTCTTGAATCACCTTCCAAGCCATCTCCACATGCCGGAATTCGGTTAATGATCCTCCGACTGCGAACCTCATCATATACACTCCTCCCACCACTGCATGAGTGATGAAAATTTTCCCACTTGAATTTATGGCCTCCAACACCTTCGCATTCAACTCATTCACTTCTTCATCTCCCTGTGAAGCCTTGAGATGCTTCTCAATTGCTGTTGGCGACAGTCTGAAGCAAACCAAAGAAAAATTCCTTGGAACCATAACCTCAAACCTCTCGTCCTTGGCAACAAGCCCTTCAAAACCTTTCGCCATTTTAACCGCGCCATGAATGAACTTTCTGAGATTTGCCACGCCATAACTCCTGAAAATAATCCACAATTTTAGAGCTCTAAAGCGTCGGCTCAATGCGATTTGCCAGTCTTTATAATCAAGCACTTGCTTGGACTCGGTGGCGTTGTTCCTCAAGACCTCGGGGTTGGTGGACAAAGCCTTTGTTAGATCCGTTGGATGCTTCACCCAAAGGCAGCAACAATCCAACGTTGAAAAGAACCATTTGTGTGCATTAAGGCTGAAAGAATCTGCGTTTTCGAGGCCGTCAAGAAAATGCTGATATTCTGGGCAAATACATGCGCTTCCTGCATACGCCCCGTCTACGTGCACCCATATGTCGTGTTTGCCGGCGGTTTCGCACAGCCGCCGTATTGGGTCGACGGCGGTGGTTGCTGTTGTCCCTAGCGTCGCGCATAAATACAACGGGATTAGGCCTTGTTCTATATCACAAAGAATAGAGGATTGAAGCGCTTCTGGGGACAAAACAAACAAATCGGCTTTAATAGTCTTGATGACACGAATGTTGTCGGGGTTTATGCCGGCAATCTGTGCGGCCTTTTTTAGTGAAAAGTGTGTTTGATCAGATGAATAGACAACAAGCTTCCCAAATTTGTCTCTCCCAATCTTGCCCAACATTTTTTCCCTGGCGGCCACAATAGAGCACACCATGGCTTCGCATGTGGTACCTTGGAGTACCCCTCCACCGCCGCCGGAGAAAAGGAAAGAACTGGGAAGTCTTAGCAACTTCCCAAACCAATCCATCACGATGCTCTCGAGCTCAGTGGCCGCCGGCGATGCTATCCAGCTGAAGCCGATGACGTTGAGGCCGGAACTAAGGATTTCGCCGAGAATGCCGGGGGTGCTAGAGATGCAAGGAAAGTAAGCAAAGAAATTAGGACTTTGCCAATGGGTAATCCCCGGAAGTATATCGTTGTAGATGTCCCGGAGGATGTTTTGGAGCGGCTCCGGGGTATTGGGGGCTGATTCCGGTAGACGTTCCCGGAGATAGCCCGGTTCAACTTGGCTACGGACCGGATACTTGCCAACGTTGTGAAAGTAATCAGCGAGGAAATCAACAACCACGTGGGCTTGTCTCCTGAAATCTTCAGGATCCAAAAGACTTGTGGTGTTGAAGGGGTGATCATCAACCTTAACCTCAGTGTGCCCGTTCTTGAGGGAACCCATTTTAAGGTATTTTGATCAGCCCAAAAATATGTATATATTATATTGCGAGGTTTGTAGGTAGCTAAGAAGATGAGAAATTTTATTTGAATTGGTGCTTCCACATGGTGCGCATGCGGAGTTTATACAGAGATACTTGTGAAGAACGTGCGTTTAATAATTTCTGCAGCACATAAGAAAAAAAGGAAACAAAGACAAAACGTGGTTGTTATACCGTTGTCCATTGTCCACAATCCACGGTCCCATACAACATCGTTTTGAACTTTAATTTTATTGACAATCGTTTGATGTTCAATTCGTATCACAAAAGGATTTTTTTTTTCTTCTTTAACTATAAGGCATGTGTATGTATATCTTGTTATGCATTTTTGGACATCATGTTATGCAATTCTGTACATTAAACGTAAGGAGTCTGTACGTGAAATTGATTATTAGTTATATAACACAAAATATATTGTGTGTCTTATTTTACAAATTTATGTCTTGTATTATGAAATTATGTGAGTATAGGACATAAATTATTTACATAAATCAGATATGAGAATGAGCAAAATAGAAAACATGTGTATGTATCTCGTAGTAAAATAGAAAACATATGTATGTATATCGTGTTATGCATTTTTTGTATATTATGTTATGCAATTCTGTACATTAAGCGTAAGAATTCTTTACCTGAAATTGATTAGTAGTTGTATAACACAAAACGTATTGTGTGTGTGTATCGCACGTGCATTGCACATGCATTACACGGATAATTGGGCAATTATTTGCTCGAATTCAAGCAAGGATAACATAAAAAAACATAATCGATACAACCCATTTCATCAATTACACTATATAATATTCGTTGTTATAATTTATATTTCTATTCCGTGCAACGCACGGGTAAAAATACTAGTAATAATAATAATAATAATAATAAGGTGATAAAATGTTATTGTGCGCAAACAAAAAGCCAAAAGACATATTATGGAATAAATTACAATTATAACAATAATAATAGTGCACACAAGTTTTGAACCTTAGACCCCCAAGTTAAAATACAATAAACACATATTCCTACCATTTCTTCATAAACATTTTAAGTTTAATTGAAAACTTTTAGGGGCCGTTTACTAACTGGAAATTTTTGGAAATTTCCAGAAATTGAAAAATAGAAAACAGAAAACATGTTTACTAACACAGTCTTCCATTTTGAAAAATGAAAACAATTTCTGAAAATTTTTGAAAAACTGGAACACACTTAAAAACTGTTTTCGAAATGGAAAACAGAATCATCTATCATCTATTTAGTTATATGTCACTATAACCACATTACTATAATTACATTCATTATCATCTTATTTTACTTATAACTATCTTCTATCTTTTCTACTTACTTTACTTATTTAAACATAATTTACTTGCTTACACTTTAAAGTTAGACATTATTTACATTATCAAAATTAAGAATTAAACTCTATATAATGTTTTAGATTTTGATTGAACTCAATAGATTATTAGTTCGAATATTTTTAATTATG